AAAAAAAAAAAAAAAAAAAAAAAGAAGCAAGAGGAGGAGGATACCGATAGGAGGTCCCCAACAGCAAGCAGCAAGGCAGGGCACTTCAGATACTCTTTTTGTAGGAGTGAGTGGTATTTTGAAAAAGGGTATTGTTATTAGTCCAGGCTAGCCTTGAACTCATTAGGTAGCCTAGGCTGGCCTCGAACTCACAAAAAATCCTCCTGCCTCAGCCTCCTCAGTGCTAATAGCATCACAGGCATGTACCATCAGGGCCAGCCAAGTAGATTTTCTAGAAGTTAAGAACAGCTACTGTGATAGGCAGCCCCTTGACTAGAGTTAGGTTCCAGAAAGGGGAGACCGATCTTGGGGTTGGTTCTTGGTATGCACAGGACCACTTTAACACACAGGGTCCCTTCCCAAGCATTGTTCTGTGATGCACGGCATTGAGAAGAACCGGCCTGAAAGAGAGCTAGAAAGAAACCTTGAGCTTTTGAAGGACACAGCCTTTCTGGTCTAGTCAGGAGGCATCTTGAGGAGGCCTTGAGTAGCTGGGGTCCCACCACACTTTCCCTGTTGGTCACCTCTCACCTCCATTCTTATGTGGTAACTGGGGGGAACAACGTCTGGCCAAAGAAGGCAACTAAGAAGCAGCAGCCTGTATGGGTAGTAGGCAACCCAGAAGCAGCAAATGGACAGGGAGGGAGTGGGAGGGGCTGGGTTAGAAGGCAGCATTAGATGAGGGAGCAAGACCAACACGCTAGTAGCTGCTAGAGTTGCCTCCATGACAGGCTGCGGGAGGACCAAGAGCGCAGAGCAAGCACGTGACAGTGTGGTAACCAGAAGGCTGGGCTGCTCAGATCAAGACGCCAAGTCTTTGTGAACCGCTACTAACAAATGAGCTTCCAAAAGCAACACACTGGGAGAGGGGCATGGAAAAAGGGACAGCGGGCTGGTTGAGAGCTGTTTTACAACTGTCCTGAGACGCTGACAATATGCATGATACGCTTATGACATTTTTCTTCATGAGCCTTCTATGGTTGCCACCCTTCCTCCAGATATTCTATAATAATCAAACAAACACAATCCACACTGCATATGGTGGTGTGTGCCTACAATCCCAGCACTCTGGGAGGCTGAGTCAAGAGAATGACATGGGAGAGTCCAGCCTGGGCAACTGAGTGATTTAGTGAGACCTTGTCTCAAAATAACAGTTTAAAATGGGCTGGGAATGTAGCTCAGTGCAAAGACTCTGGGTTCAATCCCCAGTACTGAAAGAAAAAACAACAAAAACAAAACACCTGCCATTAAGTGTAGTAAAGATGGTGAAAGAGGATCAAACAGTGCTGCCAGTCCCCCCAAACTGAGTGCACCTTACATACCCAAAAGGAGTCAACAACTGTTTTTTAAAAACATCACAACTCAATAGCCATAATGAGATTATTTCTTTGGATTAGTTGAACAGTACTAGTATTGTCCTTAATGGTTTTCATTTGTTCCAAACAATGTACTCCTGGCAATCCCCCAAAACAGTGATGAATCTCCTCTGAAGATAGGTTTACTTACTGAAAAAAGCCCAAAGTCATTCTGCAGAAGGCCCACAGCATAAGATGGATCAACCCATTGGAAAGTACCACTTGGGGGCTTGTACCACACACTTTAAGTCAGCCTTCAGAAGTAAGGGTAGATTTTTCTTAGTGGTCTGATGACTCTACAGTGAATTCCTTAAAGGGAATTCCAAATAGGCTTTTCATTGTAAGAATAAAAATACAAGCATTGCTTAATGAGCAAAGGTTAGCCAGGCATGGTGGTGCATGCCGCTAAACCCAGAACTCGGGAGGCTGAAGCAGGAGAAATACTACAAGTTCAAGGCTAGTCCGGGCTACACAATGAGTTTGTTGCAGCAAAATTCATTGAGATAAACCTTCATGAGAGATCAAGGATGGGAACACAAGAGGCTTTTATTGTTGGCAGGATGACAATCTGATGCACAATTAGGGAATGTCAACGACCAGAGAATTTTGTAGTGAGTTTTTACACTTTTACAAGTAACCATGGTAACCACATTACCTCATTTTTTTAATGTTACAAAAATGTCCCAAGGTTTACATTTCTCAGGGGTTTGTTAGTACAGTTAAATGTTGGCTTACTTACAATTTGCTTTAACTGTTTTTTACTTAAGTTAGCAATCTGTTCTCCTTTGTGGGTTTTATGGTTAACTAAGCAGGAGGGATTGAGGAATGAATTTACCTGAAGTTTAAATGATTTCTAAAATGCAGTCCCTTTTGCCCCATGATTTCTCCTGAAGGCCATATTTTCCTTTCTGAGGACATACCTCCTTAGGTCACTCATCCTCTTTGCCATCTCATACTTGCTAGCTTCCTTTACAATCATCATCGGTACTATGGTCTGTAACCTGTTTTTTATCCATTGAATGAAGCAGAGCCCCACAATTAGGGGGACAATTACTATCACAATGGGCCCAGTCAGGCTGGTAACCAAGGAAGTTAATCAGGAATTCTCTTTAAGCAATTGTTTATATCAGCAGTGGCTTGTCCTCTGAGGTGCCATGGCTTTATCCACCATTACAGGGCATCTGTCTCCAGACAAGGGGCCTAAGCCTTCCGCAGAACAGAAGTAAAAGCAAACATGTTCATATAATTAGTCCATTGTAGAATCCAAGATGGGTCTGGTGGCAGTGGACTTCACAGGTTGGAAGACCTCTTCTCTCTATGGCTGCCTATTTCAGGATGCATCCAGTGATGTTGTTATGACCTGTTAAAATACAAACTGCCTAGGGCCGGCCAAATAGCTCAGTGGATTAAAGCGCCTGCAAGCAGGCACAGGAGCCAGGGGTTCAATCCCCGGGCCTGCCATGCTGGCCCCGGCCCTGCCCCTGGGGCAAACTGAACCAGTTGAGACCATGTGTGGTGGTGCATGCCTGTAATCCCAGCTCTTGAGAGGCTGGAAACAGGTGGATCACTATGAGTCCGATCTAGTAGTAAGAGCCTGAACACCCTGTAGACCCTTCCCTAAAATAAAAAAAAATAAATAAATAAAAAAAAGCCAAAAACCAAAACAAAACCCAAAAACCAGCCATGTGAGCCCAACCCCCCATTATGCTGAGTGGGTTACTGTGACTGTGTCTGGGCTTGCTGGAGCTTGCCTGTAATCCCAGTGCTAGGGAGGCTGAGACAGGAGGATCACTATGAGTCTGAGTTGCATAGTGAGACCCTGTATCAAACGCATTTAAAAAAACAACATACCCTTATCTCCAAGTTACTTCTCCAAGTTACTAACTGTACTGGGCCATCCTATTTTATTTATTTATTTGGATGACATTTTTTTTTTTCTAGTGAGCCCTGTCTAATTGTCTGTAATGCCTGTGTAACTAACTTAGCTGTCTATA